CTCCAATTTTCAATTCCTTCATCCAAATGGATGGTAAAAATAAAATTGACAAAATTGAAATTACTAGGACCAAAGCAGGAATGGCACGTTTACTAATCCGTAATTGGATTAGGATGAATTGAATTGAGGAAGAGTTGGATTGAGGAGCATTAGATTCCTAATTCCTATTGAAGTTTTGGGGTAGGAGTGGTACTAATTACTAAAATATCCTCATTGTTAGGTTAAAGTAGATAAAAAATTTGGAATTTTAAAAATTATGTGAGAATATAATGGATAAAAAAAAATAAATTCATAATGGGTTAGTTTTACAGGAATTAGAATACCACATTCCACTCAAAAAGTGAATTCCTCCAAAATCAAGAATTCAATTCCTAATTTTGTGTGGGCCTCACTTGCTTTTCAATTCCTTGATGTGAAGTAAACGCAAGAATCCTCCATTGGTGGAATTTAGTTATTGATGAGAATTCAAATTCTTGATTAGTAAACAAACCATAACACCGGCTAAGTATAAGAACCAAAAGTGAAAGCCTTTAAAGAATGTACAAGTGTCAAAAATTGAGAGAGATAACCGAACTAGGGTTTTAGCAAGAATCAAACGGAACGGAACCAAACAAGTGAAAAGACCGCGAAAGAACATGAGCTCCTCCTCCAAGTGTGGCTGCCCCGTCGTCTTGGACCTCAACAACACCTTCCGGCTGATGGAATTGGGAGCCTCTTCTTCCTCGTCTAGGCTTCTGAACAGCAGCAACCAGCTCTCGTGCTTCACCTCTGTACGATCCAAATCCCAAATACCACTGGACCCCTCATGCCGCCTTCATTGCCTTCATCATTCATATCCTTCTTTGGCTTTGCCACTCTCTCGCAGAGATTGTGCCCTAAGAGTAAGAGCCACCATTAAAGATGATACTAACGTCGTCACCACGGAGGAGAAGGTAAATGGTGATTGTTCTGGTGAAATCGAGCATTCGATTTTGACGGCTTTGTCGCCGTTGGACGGTCGTTATTGGGGTAAAGTCAAGGAATTGGCTCCTTACATGAGTGAATATGGTCTCATCTACTACCGTGTTTTAGTTGAGGTACTTCTTTTATTTATTGCATTTTTGTTTGTTTGTTTCTATTAGAGCAACTGAGTTTTCTAATCTATTAGAAGCATAACAATTATGTCTTTCAGTACCAAATATCACATTTTTCACAAGTCTGATTTTTTTTTGGTTAATTGGGTTCTTTGTGGATTTTTTTTTTTTGGGTGAAGGTGTGATTTATATTTATGAAATGTATAACAGATCAAATGGTTGTTGAAACTTTCACAAATCGCTGAAGTCACGGAGGTGCCCAGTTTCAGTGAAGATGCTCAGTCTTACTTGCAAGGAATTATTGATGGATTTTGCATCAGTGATGCATTGGAAATCAAGAGGATTGAGAAAATGACTAACCATGATGTAAAAGCGGTGGAGTACTTCTTGAAACAGAAATGCATTTCACATCCAGAAATAGCTAAGGTAGATATTCCCTCTATTAGTTATTTCCTTTGTATTTGATACAATTCTCTTGATGTCTTTGTTTCTAGTTTTTTAGAACCACTTAATGCTTTCTTATTTCAGGTGCTTGAATTTTTTCATTTTGCTTGCACATCTGAGGACATCAACAATCTTGCTCATGCTTTGATGTTAAAAGGAGCTATCAACAATGTTATATTGCCTGTCATGGATGATTTGATTGAGGCAATATGTGGCATGTCAAAGGTTAATGCTTCCATTCCCATGCTTTCTCGCACACATGGTCAGACAGCCTCACCCACAACTTTGGGGAAGGAAATGGCAATTTTTGCTGTTAGGTTAAGCATACAAAGGCACAGAATTTCTGAAGTCGAGATAATGGGGAAGTTTGCTGGTGCTGTAGGAAATTACAATGCTCATCTAGCTGCATATCCTAATATTGATTGGCCCCTAATTGCTGAAGAGTTTGTAATATCTCTTGGAGTGAGTATTAATCATTATGTTACTCAGATCGAGACTCATGATTATATGTCAAAAGTTTTTAATGCATTCAACCGGTTCAATAATATATTGATTGACTTTGATAGTGATATATGGCGCTACATATCTTTGGGTTACTTCAAGCAGACAACTAGGGCAGGTGAAATTGGGTCATCAACAATGCCTCACAAAGTAAACCCTATTGATTTTGAAAATAGTGAAGGTAATCTTGGTGTTGCTAGTGGAAATCTTTCCTACCTGAGTGAGAAGTTGCCTAAATCGCGTTTGCAGCGTGACCTGACTGATTCTACTGTTCTGAGAAACATGGGTGTCGGACTGGGGCACTCTCTTCTTGCTTACAGAAGTACACTGCAGGGAATAGCAAAGCTTCAGGTTAATGAAGCTCGCATAAGTGAGGAGTTGAACCAGTCTTGGGAGGTGCTTGCTGAAGCAATACAAACTGTTATGCGAAGATATAGTGTTCCTGAGCCTTATGAGAAGCTAAAGGAACTAACAAGAGGAAGAACAGTTACCAAAGAAAGAATAATAGAGTTCATTAAAGGCTTGGAATTACCTGAAGAACCAAAGACCGTTTTGTCAAAGCTGACACCGCATAGCTATGTTGGAGCAGCTGTTAAACTGGCCAGGATGGTAGACACGGCTGTTAGAGCCACCAGGAAAAACACCAATGTTTCTACTGAGAAGATCAAGATGGTATCTGCTAAATCTTCTTGTGAATCTGAGCTTGTGAATTTGATGGCTTTGTCACCATTGGATGGTCGGTACTGGGGTAAAGTCAAGGACTTGGCACCTTACATGAGTGAGTACGGGCTGATCTACTTCCGTGTTCTAGTTGAGATCAAATGGTTACTATGGCTTTCACAAATTCCTGAAGTCACAGAGGTACCTACCTTTAGTGAAAATGCTCGGTCTTATTTGCAAGAAGTGATTGATGGATTTAGTAACAATGATGCATTAGAAATAAAGAAGATTGAGAAAGTAACAAATCATGATGTGAAAGTGGTGGAGTACTTCTTGAAAAAAAGATTCCAATCACATTCAGAAATAGCTAAGGTGCTTGAATTTTTTCATTTTGCTTGCACATCCGAGGACATCAACAATCTTGCCCATGCATTAATGCTGAAAGAAGCCATGAACAGTGTCATATTTCCTGTCATGGATGATTTGGTTGAGGCAGTATGTAACATGGCTAAAGACAATGCTCATATTTCTATGCTCTCTCGTACTCATGGACAGCCTGCTTCACCCACAACTTTAGGAAAGGAAATGGCAAATTTTGCTGTCAGATTAAGCAGAGAAAGACGAGAGATTTCTCGGGTGGAGATAATGGGAAAATTTGCTGGTGCTGTTGGAAATTACAATGCTCACCTTGTTGCATATCCTGATATCAATTGGCCCCAAATTGCTGAAGAGTTTGTAACATCTCTTGGGTTGAGTTTTAATCCCTATGTTACGCAGATTGAACCTCATGACTATATGGCAGAACTTTTTCATGCAATTAGCCAGTTCAATAACATATTGATTGACTTTGATAGAGATATATGGGACTACATATCGTTGGGTTATTTTAAGCAGATAACTAAGGCTGGTGAGATTGGGTCATCAACAATGCCTCACAAGGTAAACCCTATTGATTTTGAAAACAGTGAAGGCAATCTTGGTGTGGCTAATGGAAATTTTTGTCATCTGAGCATGAAGTTGCCTATTTCTCGTTGGCAGCGTGACTTGACAGATTCAACTGTTTTGAGGAACATGGGTCTAGGATTAGGGCACTCTCTTCTTGCCTACAAAAGCACACTTCAGGGAATATCAAAGCTTCAGATCAATGAAGGTTGCATAAGTAAGGATTTGAACCTTACTTGGGAAGTTCTTGCTGAACCAATACAGACGATTATGCGAAGATATGGTGTTCCTGAGCCCTATGAAAAGTTAAAGGAACTAACCAGAGGAAGAGCAGTTACCAAGGAAAGTATAGTAGATTTTATGCAAGGTTTGGAATTACCTAACGAAGCAAAGTCTAATCTACTCAAGTTAACACCACATAGTTATGTTGGAGCAGCCATTGAATTGGCTAGGACGGTAGACAGTGCTGTGAAGGTGTTATGAACCAAGAGTTGATATAGTTGCACAAGGTCTTCCTTTCCTTTTCCTTTTGAGACTGCTTTGCACAACAAGGTCCTACATATTTTGACTGCTGTGGGACTATGAAATAATCAGGTGAAACGTCAGATACGCTGAGGCTGAGGAGCTGCTTTCATTTTAGTTGTAGTTGAAAATGTTTGTATTTATATGCTGGGCTGAAAATCCCAGGTTCATATTTTGTCCTTGAAGTATTTAAAGAATGGATGGGGCAATAGGGAAATATGAGAGCTTTTCATCAAGCTCTTTTGTCATTTCAAACAGCTCCATCACTCGGATGTTAGGGGCTGGTGTAATAAAAGAACAGAAAAATACGTGTTATTTCAAATTCTGACTTGAAACAAGGTGATGAATAGAAAATGAGTTGCAGGCGGCAGCAATAAGAGAATTGTTTCGCAATGACAATAGTAAACAAGTAACAAGTTCTTATTCACCTCCTGGCGCAGTCCATAATGTTTTCTTCAGTATGCAATACAAGCATGCAATTGCAGCATCGAGGTTAACAGATGACTTCAAAAGTATACAGGTCACCACTCTGGCTTTTAACATCCTCCAAAATCAAAAGAGGAAAAAGAGAATTTGTCTATTAGAGAGACTTTTTGGCTGCAACCAACCACTGCTTACAAGAATTCTCTCACAGAAAACCACTGCAAAAACTTTCTTTCTTGTCATTGAAGTTAAAAATGCACAGCTCCATACAATCTTTAAGGAGAATTGCACTTCTCCGAACTACCAAGGAGAAAGAAAAACGCAGCCGGAAATAACTAATCCCAAATGTGATACACCAAGAAAAACTCGGTCAGGATACAGGAAATAACAATGCTTTATATGTGCTAGTCCATCTGAAAATAGAATTTCCATACATCAAGGAATTTGCGAAAAGAACTCCTCCAGTTGGCTTTCTGTTACGACCACACCAAGCTTTTTGGTAAAAACTTCATTGGTCATATCAGCTCCTGTACCTGTCGCTGCATCTGTAGCACGGATGTCGAAGTACTCATTCAGGTTGTGAACAGTTCCATCTGCACAAATACAGGAAAGAAGGAAAAAAACATTAAATTCAGTTCTGTTGTGCATTACCACCACCTCGCTTAGCAAAACTATTTGACAGGGAGAGGAAGAGAACAAATTATAGTTGTTATTAAGCAACTGCTCTATCTCATACAGGAATTTAAATAAAAATTATTTTATCTTTCATTATAAACAGAACTTATAACACTCTGACCACACGAAGCATGAGCTTCTCATTAAGTTATGCATTTTCCAGCTATTAGTAGTAGAAATCTGACCCAAACTCAAGAATGGAAGTTCCACATATTTATATATTCTAATAATATGATCCTAAAATCAAGAATCTGATATTTTAAATGACGCATAGTTTCATCTAAAAGACATAAAGCAGAAAAAGCAAGGCGGCATTATTTTGCTTGTTTGTTTATTGAAAATGAAAATTTGTTAGAAGTGGTATGCTCCAATCTAGTTGTTCTGATTGTTAATGATTTTACCATCACCAAAGTACACAAAAATGTAAGATGAATTTAACATTTACCCTCCGCAACAATGGGCTGGTAGAGGGGAGGTTGATGTAGCCAATTGCCAACAGAATCTTTCATGTGTCTCCTATCAGATGCAAAGCAACGAAGAAACACGGGGGCATGCACAATCCGGAAATACCTGCACCACCACAGAGAGAATGTCGTAAATAATGTTTACTGATCACATATTCAGCATGTTAAATTTCCAAACTCTGAGCCAGGTACTTACTGAGCCAAAAACATACAATACAATACAAGTGATTAAATACCTTTGGAATTCAGAAAAGGTCTGAAAGTCGGGGCGGATAGTTTCGGAGACGTAGCGTGCTATGGGACAAGGAAATGGAAGACTTGAATCTAAATCCCACACTAAGTGTGGGGAGGGTGATTCACCTCTGCCTTTTCTCTGTATGCAAATGACATGATAATCCCAGAGAACAACCCCATCTGCTCGGCTGCTGGCCTTCTGATGCCACAATGGGATCTTCACCATTTTTTAATTTTGCACCACAGCAAACAAATAGTAAATTCAATAAGAGGGAAACTATAGCATCCAAGAAAATGACAAAATATATAAATTTAAAAACAAATAAATCAATTAAGTCACTTGGGTACAAGGGCACATGCCTGTTTTTTCTCATTGGAAATGAAAACAACAAAAAGATCAGAACTTTGGGCATCTGCTATTTCCTTTGTGCCCAGTTCCTTGCAAAGCAAGTACACATTCTCCTCACTTCACAAACACGCACAAGAAAGAAAAAGGTAATTAATTTTTCTACCTACCAGATGATTAGCACAAGCAAGCAGAGAAACACAAAACAAAAAAAAACAAAACAAAACAAAACCGAGGCTTACCAGTAAAAAGGGGTGTGTTGAAATTGAGAGACGTCCCACGAGCTGCCGCTTACTTCCAACTCTGACGTCGTCATCTCTCTCCCTCTCTGCCCTCTCTCTCTGTCGACTGACCTCTCTCTTCCAAATTTGATCAGATTTTTTAACTACCACCCACCCACCCCAACAACGACATGTCGTTTACGAACCCAACAATATATAAACCCAAAACACTACCGTTTAACCCTCCTTCTATAAAGCAAGCGAGCTCCTCATAGGTCCATAATTTGACGTTGACATGGAATGATGGAACCAGAAGAAGGCCTCCGCATCTGCGACGCCGCCGCCGATCCACCGCCTCGTGGGCCCAGGCCCATATGCAGCAACTGCACCCGACCCGGCCCGGTCTGCCTCTGCCACTCTCTCCCGGCCCAGCCCATCAAAACCCAGACCCAAATCATAATCCTCCACCACCCCCACGAAGCCAATCACAAGCTCTCCACAACCCCAATCCTCACCAAATGCCTCTCCAACTCCACCGCCATTGTTGCGCGCAAGCTCAAGCCAGGCCTCTCCCCGCTCCTTGACCAATCACCGCCCGCCATCTACCTCTTCCCCCCAACCAAAGCCTCACCCGCCGTCAGCCTATCAGACCTCCCCAGCTCACCCGTCCCCAAACACTCCCCTTTGGTGCTCATCGCCTTCGACGCCACGTGGAAGCATGCCAGGGAGATGGTCAAAGCCAGCGAGGGGTTTTTGTCGACGTTTGCGAGCAGGGTTTGTTTGGATGTGGATGAGAGTGCGAGTGGTGGGAGCATTTACGACTCGGAGTTGGTTTTGCGGAAAGAGCCGTTTGGTGGGTGCGTGAGTACCATGGAGGCTGTGGCCAGGGCCTTGGGTGTGATTGAGCCCAATGGGGTCGAGATTGAGGCCAGGCTTATTAGGGTTTTGAGGGACATGGTGGCTTCGCAGGCCCGGTATCTTAAGACGCCCGCAAAGCCCAGGCCCAAGTTGTTGAAGAAAGGCAAGGAGAAACAGCAGCTCAAGAATGAGAGTAAGAGTGAGAGTGTAAGAGAGAGTGACCCGATATCGGGTCACGGACAACTTTAGGCCCGCACCCGAGTCCAAGCCCGTCAGTAAATTGGGCTGACCCGCCACTCTTGTGTAAAAGTGTTTTCTTATTCGAACCATCCCAATTTTTGGTACCTTTTTTTTTTTCCTTGAACTGAAAATCTATTGGATCAAAGAGAACTTGCAATTCAAAAAAAACCCTAATGTCGGTTTCATTTTGCATTTTTTTATGTCCGATTGTGCACCGACCAAACCGTCCTTGTGGAATCTTCCACAATATATCCACTTCATAGCTTGTCATGTGGACAACTGTTCTTGTGAGCAATTAAAAAGGCATATAAATTGGAAAATGGAAATCAAAGAAATACTTGAATATTGAAGTAGGTTAGCCAATTAGGCGTGTCAAAGTTTATTGTATTCTTCTACTAAAAAATAGAAACAACATTGATTGCTTTTTTTATAAATAAAAAAAAAAACTGAAACACATCACAAATGAGATCTTTTCGGATCTTAGTACCATACAAATCAAAATAAACTATAATAAGTACATGTAAGGAGAAATTACTAAACTAAATGCCGGAACTAGCATACCCATATTAGCTTCTTTGTAAACATGCTTGATGGTCACATGATTGAAATTTCCAAAAAGCCGCCGGATATCTTTGCGATTGACCGTAAGATTAAGGTATATTAGTTTACCTAGTAATAATTTGTATAAACGTCTTAGAGTCTCCCTAGAAACAATGATTGCATTGTTTCAACATTGAATATGGAGTATTTTTCTTTGGTCAACCCTTGGCTATAGAGTACAGAGAAATTGTTGCTGCGCTTTTGTGATGGTCCATGAACTTTGTTTTACTGGTAATGTTTTGTGAGCACAAGCTTCTCTTTTGTAGTTGTAAATTTCTACATTGAGACCTCCCACGTGCAGGAAGAGAGAGGGTGTGGACCAAACCAATGATATACACGAGAGTGATCAAAATGTGCATGTACACCACATGACATGTTCACTTTTTTGCTCTTAAAAGCTGTCACACTAAGATTATAATTAATGGTGTGAAGGAACTTTCTATTTCGGATTGCTTTTCTGGTGCACAAGTTACAACCATATTGCAGCATGGAGGAGGAAAGGCTGCTGCGAGGAAGAATGGTAGGGTTAGTGTTTATACAAGTGGAATGTTATTCATCGCACTCTCGAGTTTGTTATTCTGTATTTCTTATATGATGTTTTAACATAATATATATATATATATATATATATATATATTTAAAAGAACAGATTTAAAGTGAAAGCTCACACATTGAGAGTTTGAATAGTAAATGTCTTATACGAAATTATTTAGAGCATCTCCAAGAGAGTATGTAAAGGAGTACGCAAACAAGGTTTGAATAGTTACATTAGCATTTTCCTCATCTAACGGAGTAGGCAAAATATACATATTGCTAAGGGTAAGCATTGGTTGGGTTGGGTCAATTTTGGTTCCAACCCGATATAGCGGTTTATGATTTCTTGGACTCAAGACCCACTCATTATTAGGCCAACCCAACCCAACTCAATCCTTTTGTAATCGAGTTTGGCGATTTGGTCAGGTTAATTCAAACCTATCTCTATAGACCACCTACACACCTATCTCAGTGTCTCTACACGAACGACTTGAGACTAGTCATTCTCCCAATTGAGCAAACATAGTGTGCACTAGTCTTTGCCGATTACTATTATTCAATTGGTGATCCTATGACCAAGAACAATTTAAGATTCGATATTATTACGATGGAAAGGTCTTGTGCATCTAACTTTTTTAGACTGCTTTCCATTTATATCTTTATCCATAGACTTGTTACTTTGCACACATTATGTATCTTAAAGTAACATTCACACTCCTTTGATTATATTTATTATATTATATCCTTAGAATTTTTCATTACTACAACCTCAAGTAGTTGAGTCATAAATTGGATAAAAGCATAGTTAACTTTCAAAATTATTGACCTTATGAAGTAAATGGTACAAACATTTTTCATTATCTTGGTTAATTTATTCTATATTGTTTTGTGTATGTTTTTTTTTTTTTTTTTTTTTTTTTGTGAGAAATTTGCATTCAAAAAAAAAAAACAAGTACCAAGTACACAAACCAATACACAAACACAAAATAATCATTACATATAACATATTATCTTTTATACAATAACATCGAAAATCTAACACAAATTTAAGGATCCTCCACTAACGATCAAGCAGGATCGAAGAAACTGTGGCATAGGCATCCCAACTAAAAGAAAATACTCAGAATAACCGAAAATAGATAAATCTTGAAAAAAACCAAGCCATAACAATACAAGTAAAACTCTTGCCAATGATAGGTGGAAAGCTCTCGCAAATGAGAGGTGAAAAGATCTAAAAAAGAAGAGGTGAAAAAACTCTCACAAAATGAGAGATGAAAACTACACAGAAAACTCAAAGAGTCTCTGTAACTTATTTCAAACATAAAGAAACCGCAAAAAGGATGGTTGTAGAGATCCGACACTGAAACGCATGTGGAGATCCGATGCCGAAACGCATCCGCATATGATGAGTAGAGGAAAATCATTACAAAACGAAGACAAATAGAGGAAACTTTATGTCTCTGAAAATTGGGGAAAAGAGGAGAAGATAAGAAGATAGAATAGGAGAGGGAGGAAGAGAGGAGGGAAGAGGGGAGGAAGAACAGTGATTTCCTCCCCCCTCAAAGTAAAACGATTGTAGAGTATTTTTTGGGAGAGAGAGGGCTAGAATTTTCATCTTTTTTAGTGTATGGTTTACTCATATCTTTGTTGATTATTTTATTAGTTAAAAGTTTCGTATTTTGTTAGGATTTGCAGTCATAGTTTGAATCCCCTCTCTTGCTTTGATATGATTTTGTATTTTAAAAATGTTTTGTATTTTTCAATAATATGTTTGTACTAAGTAGCTTTTAGTTTAGCAAAGACTTTCTCCAGTAAGCATGTTCATACAATGATCGGAACAATTCAAGTTTAAGTTCTCTTTCCTTTTTTAGTTAAAACAAAATTGTTTATCCGTTTAATTATCCACATTTTCTTTTTTAGTTTTATATAAGGAACTACGTTTTTGTTTGCTTGCGCGTTTTACACAACCAAACAATTTCTGATTTGTATTTTTTTTAATTATAAAAAAAACAGATAATCCTCGAATGATGACCTAAAATCAAAGTCATATAGATGCAACACCTTACCTAACAACAGTGGCCCGTACATATATAAATAGCTGTATTTGGTCAATTTAGCTTGAGAGATGACAAGATATAAAGGAAATTATTGGTGGCCAAAAAGATTAGAATACCATAGTTCTATCACATCACGTGATAGTGACCTAAAAACTTATGTTACTGGGTTATCATTTTGGCTCAATTGCCTTGTATTGTATGAGGCTGGCCTTTCATTTTTCTTGGATTATTATTGTGACATCTTTGTCATTGTATCAGTGCTCTTTCATTTTATGGTTCCCTCGAATTAAGGGCCAAATGAATTTCTGTTCAGTATTATATATATATATATATGGAATTTTTGATAGTGTTGACTTTCTTTTTATTCAACTCTTTTGTTTATATTAATCGAGAGGGACGAAGTAAACTTAAAATCTCTTCTAACATTAGAGTGAGAAGTACCACTACGTTTTACGTTTTCGAATTCAAAGTGTAGTTATACTAAGATATATAAATCGCATTTTTAAAAAAAACAATAGGGCTATCGTCAAAAAACTCTCTAATATTGAGAATGACTCAAACCTTTAGGGAGTCTTTTGACGTTAGCCCAAAAAACTAAGATATATAAAATTTAGGTTTATTTGTTGAGATGTCATTGTTGCATCAAAATTGTCTCAATTTGCCCCTTGACGTTTCAAATGACTCAATCTCCTCCATGAACTTCAATTCTGTGACTAAGGTTGCCACATTCCGTTAATTTTGATATGAAAATCGTTAACTCCGCTGACTAGGTAGTTTAAAAATAAATATTTTTGCCATGGAGAAAT